GGGGGTGGTGCAGCGGGCATGGGTGGGCCACAGGACCACGGCAGGACAGAGCCTGTTGTAAGGAAAAAAAAAAAAAAAAAAAAAAAAAGGAAAAAAAAAATTTGTATAAAGACGTTATTTTTGTACTACATCAGAACTACTCCTGCATGTCGGCAATAAAACTTCATATGACAGCCCGGCGACCCCACAGGGAAGGGATGGGAGGGGTGGGTGGCACAGGGGATTTTGGGGTACCCATGTGCTCTGGGAGCTGTACAGGAGTGAGGGGAGGGCCAGGCTCACAGATCAGCAGCCCTGAGTGCCCCATGGGCCCCCTAGCCCTGTCCCGCCCCAAGGCCCTGCCTTCACTGAGCCACTGAGCCTGTCCCTCCGAGCCCAGCCCGGAGTGGCCACTGGGGACAGAGGTGGCATGCGGAGCCTCGAGTCCCCGAGGTCCGGCCCCACCGGCCCCGGCATGTCCCACACCTCGGCCAGCGGGGCTGAGCCAGGGCCACCCTGCACGGCCTCCACCTCCGTGGGGCTGGAACCATCCCGGCAGCTCCCCCAAACCCACGGCGACCGCTGAGCCTGAGCTGAGGCTGAGCCCCCCCAGCCCCGAGGGTCTGGCACTGCCAGCCCAGCCTAGGCCAGTCACAGCCAAGCCCGGCCTGACCAGATGGCCTTGGACAAGGCCGGTACGGGGCCTGGAGCCGCCTGTGGCCCCACTTCGGGGCGGTTCCACTGCAGGGCTGAGCGCGGCGTCCCGGGGGAGCGGGACGAGCCCCGGCCCCGCGCCCGCTCAGCACCGGCCGGGCCTGCCATTGGCTCCGGCGGGAGCGCTGACCGCCAGCCGCCTCCGAACTATTTCCTGTTGCTGCAGCGTTAATGCTAAACAGACCTTGCTCTCTCTTCCCTCACTTCAGCCAAAGTGCAGCGGCTCTGCCGGTACTCACTGGCCTTCCCACCCCGGTGAGTACCAGCCCGGGCACCGCGTGGGGCTCAGGCCGGGGCACCCGGAGGGACCTCGGCACCCGCGGCCACCCAGCCCCACGGGCACAGCGGGTGTCGAGGCTCGGTCCCGTCCCGGCTCGGGTGCTCTGGCCTTGGGAACGCGGGCGCAGTGCAGGGCCAGGGGGGCTGAGGGCACAGGGCTCGGTGACACAGAACTCGGGCTTTAGGGACGTAGCAGTTGAAGATGCAGAGCAGGCGGCTTGGGGCCGCAGTGTAATGCTCGGCGACGCAGCACCGAGCAACTCGGGGCTCAGCTCTTGGGGACCCGCAAGGCCCTACAGCCAGCCCGGCCCTCATCAGCACGCCGGCGGTCCCTGGGGTTCCGTGGTGGGGCTGTGCCCCTCCAACCCTACAGCAGTCCCTTGCCGGGGCAGGGGCTGGCCGTGCAGCTGCTCCACGGGGAGGGCGCCCGCCCCTCCTAGGGACCCTGCTGGCCTCGTTTTGGGGTGTCCCACTAGAGGGGCTGCCCAGCCCTGGGATGTGCCGCGGCCCCTCAGCTCTGGACCGTCCGGGATGGTTTTGCTGATGTGTCACATTTTCTGCATTTCTTTCCTCATTCCTCTCTCTCTGGAGCCATTTCTGGGAATGAGCTCGTCCCCTGCCAGGGCCAAATTTCCTTCCACCTTGCCCTGCCTGCTGTCCTGCTCCCCATCCTTCCCACTGCCCTGCTGCCCAGCCTTCCCGCTGGTCTGCCTCTCCTCCTGGCCGCTGTCCTCTCCTGGTGGCCTTTGCGCTGTGCCTGGCCTTGTCCCTGCTCTGCAGGGCCCCACAGCAAGGGGCCAAGGCTGGAGCTGGGCTGGAGCAGTGTGGGGGACAGGGACAGGGTCCCAAGCGGGCGTATAGAGCACACATGTGTGCACGTGAGCACGGGCAGCCTGGTTCTGGGACCTTGCTCTGCCCCATGACCCATCCCATGGCCGGGCACGGGACAGAACGCCTGGCCCGGTGCCACAGACCTGCCTGATGTGTCCAGGAGGAGCCGTCCCTCAGGAAGGATGGAGGGCGGTGGGAGCGGGACGGCTCCAGCTCGGCATCTGTGGGGTTCCAGCCCTGGATAGAGCAGCCCGGCCCAGACACGAGCCCCTGCTCAGCTGGAGCTCCCCCAGGCACAGCCTTGAAAAGGACAGGGGACTCGGGGGGGATCCCAGCCCCCTACAGAGCATTGCTCTGCCCGTGTACCACAGATGCCAAGCATGTGCCGTCCCTGGAGCCGCTGAGAACTGCCAGGGACAGGATGGAGAGTCGCCGGAGGGACATGGAGCTGCTCAGCAACAGCATGGCCGCGTACGCCCACATCCGAGGTGAGCCGGGACGCATCTGGGGGGCACCGCGGGGCCCCGGCAGGTGCGGGCGGGTCCCTCACCCCCTCCTTTCCCCCTGCAGCCAACCCCGAGAGCTTCGGGCTCTACTTTGTGCTGGGCGTCTGCTTCGGGCTGGTGCTCACCCTGTGCCTGCTGGTGCTGCGCTTGTCCTGCCGGCCCTCCCCGCGGCCCCCGGCGCGCCCCGGCGACCTCAGCGAGGACGACGAGGACGAGGACGAGGGGGACGAAGAGGACACCGTCGACCGCGCAGCGTCTGAATCGCTGCTGCCGGTGACCGAGATCCCGCTGGAGGGCCACGGCCCCGGGGACGGGGCGCTGGCCGTGAATGTGTTCGCGTCGGCCGAGGAGCTGGAGCGGGCGCAGCGGCTGGAGGAACGTGAGCGCATCATCCGCGAGATCTGGCGCAACGGGCAGCCCGACATCCTGGGCTCCGGCACCATCGGCACCCTGGGCCGCGTCCACTACTACTGAGCCCGGCAGCTGCCCTGGCACGGGCTCTGCTCCCGCACCACTGGACCCACACCGTGCCAGGAGGGACCAGGAGGACAGCGGGGCTGCTCGCTGCCCCTGAGCTGGCGGAGCTGCCTTGCAGCACGGAGACAGACCCCGGTGTCACGGGCACCCCCGGGGCTGGACTCGCCCCAGCCACTGTGGGACACGGTGCACTTTGAGCCATTGGTACGGCGGCTGGCACCAGCCGAGCAGCCGCGGGACACGCGGGGCAGGGACAGGACAGAGCAGCCCTTGCTGCCCGGCTCAGCCGGGATCTGCCGGGGGTTTCACCCCGTGGGGCACGGCCGGGCTGTGCGTCCGTGTGAGCCGTGGGCCCCTGCCCCACAAATATGGTGCTGTTCTACACGAACTAGAGCACAGCGTGGCGGGTCTGGCGTTCTGGGGGGCCCTGGACACAGGGACGGTCTCGGCCCCTCCCCGAGCTAATTTCTTTCCTGGCCCCACTAAAATTAGCCGGGTCTTTTCCGGCACCGCCCGCCGTGACCCAACGCCCTGCGGCCGGACCGAGGCGGATGTTCCTGCTGGACTTTGGGCCGGCCGCTGCTCCCCAGGGATGCGGCAGCTCCCGCCGGGCTGGGCTGCATCCTGCCCCCACTCACAGCCCCGCTGGGTGCAGGGCCCCCCTTCCCCTGCAGCTATATAAAAATAGCTCCTTCCCAGGCTGGTTCCCGCCCCCCCCCGGCGCCAGCGCCAGCAAGATCCAGATGTTTTCCAATGGCTGGAAGCCAGGATGGGCTGGGGCTGGGACTGGAGCTGGCCTGGGAAACTGTGCGGGGGTGGAGGCGGAGGAGGGAGAGCTGGAGGGAGAGAAGGAGGAGACCCTTCCCCAACCCTGCCCTGGTGGGACTCCTTGTGCCACGGTGGGACCCTTTGTGCCTGGCAGGACCAGCCCAGCCCTTCAGGGGCATGGCAGCCAACAGCAGAGCCCTGAGCAGCCCCCACACAGCACTCTGTACCCAAAACAGTTTATTTTAAACAATTTCTATAGATCCAGGGGCTGTTATGCTTCAAGGAGCAGTGTCTGGGTGTGGGGTGGGCATTTGTACCCAATGGGTGCAGAACTGGGCTGGGGACAGCGAGGCCAGGGGGGTACATGGAACCATGTGCCACCCACCTGCCCTGTTCCATAGGCGGGCACCACAGCCCCCACATGCTAACTGGCCAGCCCCTTCCTCACTTGCTCGATCTCCACCTGTGGGGAAAGGCTGTGATTGTTGGGGGACACAGGGAACCCCAGGACGAGGCAACCCCTGCCAGGGATTCATCTGCAGCGCCTAGCGCTGAGTCCGCTCCTGGCACAGCTCCCACCGCAGGTCCTGCAGGTCCCGCCTGCAACACGCCAGGATGGCTCAGCCGGGGCCAGAACAAGCAGCAAATGGCCAGGAGCCCCGACACCCCCATCCCCACTCACAGGTGCTGGACTTGCATCACGTCCACAAGGATGTGCAGGGTGAGGACCTCAGCCTTCAGATCCTCCAGGGATCTCAGGGCTACTGACCTCCCCTCCAACACCTCCAGCCCATCTGTGCTCCATCGCGGGACAGACGCCTGCCCTGTGCTGGGGACAGGGGCACAGAAGGCAGCACGGGGCAGCCCCTGGGTCTGCTCTCCCTCACAGGGTCCCCCCATGCTCCCTGGGGCGATGCTGGGTGGCCGCTGGCTGGGTACTTGTGGCCGAGTGGCTGTGGGATGGCTCAGCCTGGCTGTGGTAACCAACACCGTGTTGAAGCCATTGGCATCTGCCAGAGAAAGAACAGGAATCAGCACCTGGTCCTGGGCAGGGCCCAGCCACCCCTGCATGGCCCCTGCAGCCTACCTGGGTCACCGGCTGTGCCCTGCTCCATGTCAGCTGAGGCACTAGGCTGGGGGTCACTGGGCCTGGGGACAGCAGAGATGTGAAGTGGCACACCTGGGGAGCTGCCAACCCCACACCAGGACAGCCACGATGGGGCACTGTGACATCTCAGTGGCCCTGGACACCCCAGTACAGCCACTTGTTTCTTACTTGGTAGCCAGCACGGGGGCTGGTTTGGTCTTGGCAGGAACAGGGGGAGCAGGAGCCATCCTCTTGGTAAGTGGGAGCTTGGTTGGTTCCATCCTCTCTGATGCTGGGAGTTCTGGAGAGAGGCAGGAGCAGGGCTGGGGCTGGGACTGGCACTGACAAGAGTGGGGCAGGGAAGTGCTTCCTGCTTGTGCCATGCCCTGGCCCAGGGGGCCTCACCCAGGCACATCCCTGTCCTTCCCTCTCCTCCAGCCCAGGACTCACTCCCTGTCCTCACACTTCTTGTCCATCTGTGGCTGCAGCTGCCAGGGAGCAAAGGGGCTCATCAGGTGCTGGGGAAGGACCCTTGTGAGAGGTGAGGCCTCTCACAGCCCCACACCAGCCCCGCTGTGGTTGGCGCTTCCTCCGTGTGTGGCGGAGCAGCAGCTGCAAAGCTCCCCTGAGCACCAGTGCTGCAGAAGGGGCAGGATGTCATTCCACCACCATCACAGCAGCATCCCTGCACCGCTGCACCCTGGGGTCACACCAGGAAAAGCCCACTGGCGTGGTGTGACACAAGACATCAGGCCATGGACATGTGCCCATGGACCACCCTGTTCTCACAGCAGGTCTCCCTGTCCCCATGGTCAGCTGCACTGTCACTGTGGTGGGTCATCATGTCCCTGTGGTGGACCAGCAGCCCTGATGGTGCCTGGTGCCTGCTGCTGTCACCAGCACAGCCCTTGTCACAGAGACCTTGCAGACACCAAAGATCGTGCTAGTATCACCCGAAGATATGGCTGAAGCTCCAAGGGCTGCAGGGATGAGGACACCCCTATCCAAGGCCCCAGTGCTCCTCTGCTCCGGTGGCACAGGGGTGATGGTGCTCAGAAGTGCCTGGCATCCTGCCAGCCCCTCATGGGCAGCTCTCCTGGAGCCCAGGGCATAGCCCAGCCCTGGAGCAGTGTGATCCCACACAGGTGCTGCCGTTGGGATGATCCCTGTGCCTGGGACCCTCGGAGCTGCCACTGCTCCCTTTTACCTGCTGGTGTGGGGCTGCCCCCGAGGCCGTGTGGTGCCATGCAGTGCCAGGCTTCCCCAGCCCCACACCACACACGTGATGCCAGAGGAAATCAGCTCCGTGCTGGGAAGGAAGCTGAAGCAGAGCACACCTCGGTGCTGGTCCATACCGCATCCCCATGCCCCACCAGAGGACTCCTGCTCCGGAGCCAACCTCGTGCCCCTCCTGGGGCTGCCTGGCCATCCTGGCGGGATACCAAAGCTCCCAGCACATGATGGACACCAGGGCCAGACCCACGGGACTCTCTGTGCTGGGACGGCAGCATCAGCCTCGGCTGTGGGAGGGGGTTTGGGTGAGGGTGGGACCACAGGCAGGGACCGCTGGCACAGCAGAGCCCCATGGAGCCGTGTGTCCCCTGGCCATCTCCAGCTTGGAGCCCCCACCCACCCACCTTCTCCAGCCCTGGGCAGGGCTGTGCCATCTGTGCCACCGTGGGGATCCCTGTGTGACAGAGCTGCGACTGCAGGGGCAGCCGAGGCCAGCACACAGGGGAGAGGACCGCAGCCGGCCTGGGGTGACAGCTCACACTCACCAGGGTCTCACAGCGGTTCTGTCACCCTCAGCCAGAGGGGAAGTGAAACCCAAACCACAGAGGGGCCAAAACCCACAGACTGTGTGACACCAGGGATCCTGGCTGGTCCTGGCCTGTGCCTGGTCCAGGAGACAGCGTGGGTATTCCTTCTGGCCAAATGCATTTGACCCAGGCAATTGAACTGACAGCAGGGCCGGGAATCAGCCATGGAACAAAGCAGGATGGCAGAACAGAGGTTCCACTGCAGACCAGGAGGCTGCACTCCCCAGCTGTGGCCACTCAGGCCAAGGAGCTGGGAACACTGGGCATCTCAGGCTGGCTCAAGGCTGAGTGTGAAGAGAAGTACCAACTGCTATCCCAGCACTGTCCCAACAGCTCTTGGCCAACACCGTTACCCACAGCAGCCAGGAAATATGAATTTCTGCAAACCCCACACACCCAGCAGCCTCCCCAGCACCCTCTCTTGGGACAGCAGTGATGGAAAAGCAGCAGCAAGGGCAGCACACGGGGCTGCAGCGTGTCCCTTGCGAGCTCCTGGGAGGAGCTCAGGTGTGGGAAGGATGGAACTGGTCCTGTGCACAGGTGACACAATCCCTGCTGGCATCAGGCTGGGGAAGGGCCTGTGGCTGTGTCACAACTGTCCCCAAGCAATTACTGCCAAAACAGGGGCTGAATGATCTATTAATGTATAAAACCCAACAGGGAGTTGCTCCCCTGTTGCTCCAGGCACTTGGTCCTTTCAGGCTCCCCCCCAGCAACTCAGGACACAAACCAAGCAGAGTTACACCTACAACTTATTTTATTGTCTTTTATTTGCATAAACAAACTTCAGAGCTTTGCTAAACAGGAACTGTTCAAGTCAAAACAAACCAAACTCTAGCTGGTGTGTGGGGAACAGCACAGCAATCCTGGGGAGAGGGACAGGGGGAGCATGGGCACAGCTGTGCCTCCCCGCCCAGGCTCACGACCTGGCCGGGAACTCTCCACAAACTGCTCCAGAATATCTTTGAAGTAGAAGATAAGAAGAAATGCATCCTAAGGGCTATCCTCAACCAGCTCTGGAGGAATCTGCCTTTTGGTTTTATAAAAAGATTAATAAAAAATATTGAAAAATTCTCATCTCCATTTATATTTTTCCCCAAGAAGAATTTGGAAGTTCCTTAGAAAACTGTCACCTTGGAAAGGGCACTCAGGTCACAACCAGCTGCAGGGAGGAGACACAAATGCTACAAGCAGTTTGGGGGTCCAGCACACACCAGGCCTAATAGTGAACACAAACAGTGGCCAGAAGTAGGGTGTAATTTTTTTTTTTTCTCTTTTAAACCATGCTAATTTTGTTAACTTCCAACATAAAAGGAAAACAATTTTTAAAAGGCCCTAAACTCAACTGCTACATAAAAAACAGTTAAAAAAAAAAAAAAAAAAAGTCATAGCAGTTTGGTCCCAACAAGTGAACATTTAGATGTTTACTCACATGCTTCATTGTTTTCTTATTTATAAGAACCAAAAATAATTTCCAAAATCATCTCTGAATTGATGCTACTACATATGTAAAGGCCTAAAATAAGCAGAATTTAGAAAACTGAATACACAACAGGGGAGGAAAATTTGAGCGGGTGAGTAAACCCCGACTGTCACTGGGTCAAATTATAAAAGAAAAACAAAACGTCAGGACAGGTGGGGTCAGGTGGGCACAAGCTAAAACCACATCGTCCTCAAAGCCTGTTACCAAAAAATAACTGACTGACCATAAGGTCACAGTGAAGTGAAAATCTGGGGTCTCACCCAGCGCTTGACCGTATCCAGTCCAGAAGGGAAGTCTTTGGGAAGAGAAACTCCAGAAGTGGATCCGAGCGTAAATGATGGATCAGTCCCAGTCCGTGCTTGGGGAGGCTGAACTCTGGAAATGCAGTTAAATAGCATCGGGATGGTTTCCAAGCTGCTCTCCAGGGCTCTGCTCAGCACGTGGGGATCACCCTGACACCCCAGCACCAGCCTGACCCCTCCCCTCCTGCCAGGGCTCCCAGAAGCACGTGGACCCCGCGGCTACTCGGCTGTCGTCTGCAGGGCGTCCTTTTCCTCCCGGTTTTCCGTTCCGCTTTCGTCGTCTTCGATTTCTCCCTCTTCCCCACTGAACTTGTCATGAGCCCACTTGGGGCTGGTGCTGGACTTGCGGAACATGAAGCGGCCTCTTCCCCGGGGGAAGGCACCACGGCCGCGGCCCCTGTTCACCCACTTGTCCGTGCCCTCGCCCTCACGGTCGTCGTGCTGCACAGGAAGCCAAGGACAGCAGGTGAGACAGGCTGGCACCGCCCTGCACCGCGCCTCTGCGACCGCCCTTGGGAATCCACTTAATGGGAACCACTCTACAGGGAGCAGGAACAAGCTCTCTTTAGGCATGAGCCGGCAGCTGCCCGTGAAGCGTCACCCAAAGCCTTACCTGGTGTGTCAGTGACAGTGGGTGCTTTCACCTCTAAAGCACC